GGCCTGGTGCCTTTCTGATCCTTTGTTTTTTTAAAAAGAGGCCACATCTTTTTCCACAGATCGTTAGAGGTGGGGGGCTGGAGGGAAGGAAGATAGGATGGTGATTGTCAGGGGAGCAGCTGCTGGGTCTGAGGTGGGGAGGGTGAATGTTGTTTGTTAAACCTGCAGTAGAACACATTCAGGTCATCTGCTAGTTGACGGTCCTCCACAGCAGGGAGGGATGGTTTCCTATAGCCAGTGATGCTTTTCAGGCTTCTCTACACAGACAAGGGGTCCTTGGCTGAAACCTGGGCTTTCAGCTTTTCAGAGTAGCTCCTCTTTGCTGCTCTGATCTCCTTTGTCAGTGTGTTCCTGGCCTGGCTGTACAGAGTCCTGTCCCCACTTCTGTAAGCCTCCTCTTTGGCATGACAAAGCTGCTTGAGTCTGGCTGTAAACCAGGGCTTGTTGTTGTTGTTTTATGTGCATAAAGACTTTTTGGGCATGCACACATCCTCACAAAAGCTGATATAAGATGTGACAGCGTCAGTGAGTTCATCCAGGTCTGTAGTCGCAGCCTCAAATACACTCCAGGCTGTGCAGTCAAAGCAGCCCTGTAGCTCTGACTTAGCCATTAGCTATTGGCAAAGCCTGGTACTGCAGCAAATTAAAAGTTTTGACAATTACACCCCATACCCTCTTCTTCAGCAGTGTTGGTTAGTAGATTTTTTTTTAACTATTAGTAACGAAAATTAATCAATGAATCATTGACGTCGCTAATGAAAACAAGTGTCTCTATGCTGAGCAGGTGACAGTGCCACACTTCACCAGGTCTAAGAGTCAGTCTGTTGACTACCTAACACTCCCTCCAAAGCCTGATGCTTTAACAGAGCCAGGATAAAAAAACAAACAAACAAAAAAAACAAAAACAAACAAACAAACAAAACAGTCCATGTAATTATTTCCCGTTTCCTGGCACCCCGCCCACTCACCAAGATAGCACTGCTCTGTGTACGACTACATAAGGCAATACCAATTTGTGAATGGTATTCTTGTTTTTGTGACCTCCATTAGGAAATACTGAGAAACCCTGATTATAATTGGTGAACATAGGCCCATGCAATGCTGTTTGTTCCTTTTGGGAGATGGCATAAACCTTACAGCTCTTACCAATATACCAGCAGCTAGTGATTTTATTTCTGTTGGAAAAATTGTTGTTAATGGGATAATGAGCCGTTATTCAATTTCCATAGCTGGCATATTTCTGACAAATTTCTTATCAAAACATTCAGAAGAATACAAATATTTAAAGCTTACTTAAATATACAACACAAACACTGAAAATCTCATTAAGAACTACATAACAATTTAACACTGATGCACATATTTTGAGAGTCTGATCCAACATGAGATGTTCCCTCATAACCAGCATTACTATAAAACCTTTGCATCAAACTGCATCATGACACTGACTGGGTGATATTTTCAATAGCAGTTTTCAATGAAGTACTCTGACCAACTTCTCCACATATACACACAAAAGCCTGACACACACGTGCAGTCATGCCAGTTCCCAAAGAGGAAATGAGACATTAGCCATGTGACACTGATCATTTCCACACTCTACCCACCCCCACAACTCCCTGTAGACTTGAACTTGTGGGAGGTTACGAGGGAAGTTGAACATGCTGCTAGCTGGTGAAAGATAACTCTGCTCTGGGACTTACAGTTATTCTTATCAGCAAACAAGGCTAAGCTTTAACAGTGAGTTTAGAACAGCTGCTCATAAATCATCACCTAAATACAACGACACAATGATGAAGCTATCTATAAACATGATTACCTCAAATTTGATAGGAAGCAATGTCAATAAAATGTGTTTTTTCCAATTTGATCTGTTGCACACTGGTTCTTGGAGCATCAAGAATTAACAAAATGTGTGAATGTGTGTGGGCATGGCTTTGATGATAAATCCAAGCACTTCTCTTAAAGCCAGTCAGGCACTGGGCTTGTCTTGGCTACAGACTGTGTGGCGCTAGCTATGCAGCTCAAGGCCTGGAGGAGGTTTCCATCCACTCACAGAGGCGCATACACTTTTTCGTGCATTCCTCAGATTCCTCATCGTGTGTGCCTCCCTCTGAATCAGCCACTCAAGGCATTACAGAAAAAAAAAAGGATGACGCTTGGTTTATAACATTTGAAAATGTCCAAATTCAGAATTGTGCAGAAAATACATAAGCACTAACCCTAATACCTAAACCTCTAGGTTCCTTGTATCTCTGCACGTCATTTCATGGCCATCCACCCAGCATTTGAGATATTTGAGTCTGGATCAAATATTGCATCATTATAGATCATGTCAGCATCATTATCAAAAAACTTCAATTGATACAAAATCTTAAAATTGAGCCTAAGAAAACTCATTTAAATGTCCAGGCTTCCATTTAAATTTTGGAAATACCAGCTGATCATAGCCAAACTTATAATAAATTCAAGCAGCTTTTACCTCATTAGTTCTGCACTCAATAGTAAGGAGCCAAAATGACAAGAGGTTCACAGAGCCTGGACGACTGCTGCTTACATGTTCTCGCCTGCACACGCTCTACTGTATCTGCAACAGTCAACTCTGCTCAAGATCTGACTTCACTTAAAAGTGAACAAGTCCCAGCAGGCAAAATAACAAGGCCAGGTGCTTGTTTGAGTGTGCAACCTCCAACTTTGTAGGCTTCTATTCCTACTCTAGTCTTACTTTAATAGAACATGTAGTGAATGGGTGAAAAACACTAAGTCAGTATCTCTGCTAAGCAGTCACACTCATTTCCCCTTTGTCTATTAATACATCTCAGTTCAACAGCTCAGGTTAGAAAGATCAAACGGATAAGCCTTGTTAATAATACACACATACGTTTATAAAGAATCTGTGATATACAGTGAGATCAAAGTCCTAACAGCTATGAGAGTGAAGTTAGCCTGGGTTAATAGCTGACAAAAGTCAAAAGCCAGGGTGGGGCTGGTGGGTGCAGCTCTACCGTATTCCCTAGAAATCAATGCACTGTACCGGACAGCTATTTGCTCTGTTCCTCAGAGTCCACTTGCACTGAAACTTGACCTGAATTAAGTATTAAAGCCCAGTAGAGCTGAACTGACTGTCTGATATACAGACCAGTTTTTTTTTTTTTAATCATCTAATATCTGCAGCTATTTTAATATGAACAGAAGTTGCTCCCAAAAAAATTGACTGACAACTATTTTTATATTAGTCATTTCAAGATTCTTTAGTTCAGCTACGGTGACAATTTTCTGCTTTTCTATAACTTATGCAACAATAACTTGAATATCTCTGGGTTCTGAACTGTTGGTCAGACAAAGATATTAACCTTGGGCTGTTGGAAGTTGTGCTTTTATAGACCTGATGATTAGCCCACTGATTCAGTCTGGATGAAGCAGTTAGTGCCCGTCACAACATAATCCTGTTATAGCGAATATCAGTCATTTCACTTATATTCTTAGCGCGAGGAACTGCTGACTTAAAACGCACGTGCACCAAAATGCTTAAATGGCACGCGCCAAACAAATTCCACTGAACGGCCCTCACCTGTGATAATCTCCCGCTTGGCTTCATCCAGGTGACTGGAAATGACGTCCCCCATGGTGGGTGAAACTCAGAAGTCCCAGACTGACTCCACAGCAAGTCTACAACTAGTCTTTAAAACATACGGGGGAAAAATAACGTCAAGAAAACTGTAGAGCCCAGCAGAAGCCCTCGGGTTCTCTCCAATATAACCTGAGGTGACTGAAGTGTAGAGAAGAGACGCTCTGTGGAAAACAGGACAAGGAGGTAAAGGGAAGAAAAAGCTGACGGCTAAGAGACACACCCTCCTTCAAAGTAGGAGAGGAACTCCCACCCCGGGCGTTGCGTTCAAGGTATGTGGGGAAAATGGAAGCCACCAGCAACCTTTTCATAGTGTGCAATATATCACAGTAAAACAATAAATAAATACGTGGCCCAGAAGTCCCAGATTTTAAAGCTTTTGGTACCGCTAATTATTAATGTACTGTATTAGTGTAGGTGTAGGTGAGGTGCAGTGTGACAGTGATTGATATTTATGTAACATTTCACATAAGTCTTAATGTGATGGGACTATAGAATGATGTTTGATTGTGTTTGTACTACCTAGTACAACCTTCTGACAACAGTTTATTCAATAAATTGACGATTTTTGCAGCTCTAATATGAATCAGCTGGCACTTCTTGTTTGAGATATTGCATAATTATTATTACAAATAATTTTTATTATAATGTAGAGCTCTGAAAACCCCATATAAATAACTGCAATAAAAGTGTGCAATCAGAGTGTCCTGTTAGTTTGAATTATTCACTGTGGTGCAACAGAAGCCTTTGTCATTGTTTGCGTGTCTGTCCCATTGCTGACCACCTCTCTGGCCAAAAAATGTAGTTCTGTTCTAGTCAGTCAAAAGAAAAGATGATTTACTGTCAGATGCAAATGGTCCAGGTGATACTTATACACACTGTACTGTTGTTCTGAATATACAACCCCAAACCAGAAAAAGTTGGGATTAACATGTGCACTATGAGGTTTTGTGTTGTCTTGTTGAAATATGCATGGATGTCCCTGAAAAAGATGTCATCTTGAAGACAACATGTGTTGCTCCAACATCTCTGTGTATTTTCCACCAGAAGTGGAAGTGACCCTTGCCAAAGGGCACTGACACAACCCCAGACCATGACAGACCCTGGCTTTTGGACTTATTGCTGGTAACAGTCTGGATGGTTCTTTTCATCTTTGGTTTGGACCACATGGCATCCATTCCTTCCAAAAAAGCCCTGAAATAGTGATTGGTCTGACCACAGTATGCGTTTCCAATGTGTGATGTGTATGATGGTCCATCCCAGATCAGTCGACTGCGCTTCTGGACACTGTTGACACAGGGCTTCCTTTGACACAGTACAGTTGTAAGCAGCATTCATGGATGTAACTACGTATTGTACTGCCTGACACAGATGTGCCAAAGTCATCCTGAGCCCATGTGGTTATATCGCTTATAGAAGAGTGATGATTCTTGATGCAATGACGTCTGAGGGATCAGAGAGCACGGTCATCCAGCTTAGGTTTGTGCCCTTTATGCACTGAAATCCCTCCAGATAACTTGAACTTTTTAATTATGTTCTGCACCACAGAAGGTGACATATCCAAATCCCTTCCTATCTTTCTTTGAGGAACATTGTTTTTAAACATTTCAATAATTTTCTCACACATATGTTATATGTCATAATATTCTTAAATTAATTCAATCCGCCATTTGGGTCTGGGGCAGTTTGGACCTGGAAATGGAATGTTACGTTGTAGTTACATGTTAATATTTTGCCTCATTTCTCATCATAAGCTTGCTATTTATTTGAGCTGCACAAAGTGGTTTAGTGAGTCTAAATCACAGGCATACAGTAAAGCTGCTTTAGCTGTATATTTTGTCAGTATTATAGCTCATCTAAACTTATTGAAGTTAGGTCAACATTTCAGTGCATGCAGTAAGCTACAGTATATCATGTATTTACTTTAAATATTATTAAACATTGCCAAATAACAACAGCATGAGCAGCATCTCTGAGTGAATTGATAATTTCCTAAATTTCTGCTGAGTATTAACACATCTGTTGGAGTGCCTGTAAATAAATACATAAATAAAATACAATATGTGGTGCTGTAGGTAACTATATAAATTGTAAATAAATAAACTGTCAGTGAGAGGGGTGCCCATTTTTAGTTTGAGCACCTGTCCTCCAAAATGTCTGTGCATGGCCCTGCTTTTCACCAGTGCTGTAGGCAGGCTTTCAGCAGTACTGAGGCCGTGAGTCACACCAAAAGATTTCTGGCACAACTTCACCCACCGTCAAGGTGCACGGAGAAGGAAAGTCAATACTGAGGGATAAACACTCCAGTGGCACTTGGTGTGTAGAAAACAACTTTGCTGTTGAACCATCATGTTTCAGCTTGTGGCCTTCATCAGGGTCAGTGTGAAACACAAAACAGAGACCACTTAAATAAAATTATTATTTAAGTAAAGCAAGGAAACCAAACCCCAGCATTCCACAAATTAAGAGATGCCACTCTTATTTTGCAACCTAGTTTGTGCCACTTCATATTACATTATGCCTGCTATTAGGTTAATCCAGACATGTTCTTAACAATATGGTGCTATTGAGAAAACAATCAAAACTACAAGGCACACAATACAGCACTATATGTATGATGGCAAATGGTGCTGACTACAAGGAGCATGTCTGCAAATTTTTTTTATAAATAATATTTCTTTTTAAAGTATGAGGATGATATATTAAACAAAAGCTTCTTGTCCTAATCTGTGTTTGCTCATGCATGGTCAGTGTGAATGTGATGTGCATGAGGTCAAAAGGTCAACAGATGAAATGACGAGAAAAGGAATTATTAAAAGTGTAAACCACAAAAAAATTGCATGAGTGCAGGAGGGTTACTGACATTTAAATTGGTTGAAGAAGTATAGGCCTACAGCTACAGTGCAGTAGACCAAAGCCATCAGTAGCACAGTTTTGATTTGCTTCTGAAGTTGTGGTGCTTTTAAGATCATCAGGAAAAAGCTAAAATCTACAGGAAAGGTCACAATACAGAAATGACCAGAGGCCAAAGAAAGCATCACTTGCTGTTTATCATGATTTCAAGTAGTAGTTTGGACCATAATGCATTTATGGAGGTGACCTGTAACAAATCACTATGGTGGAGGTGGAGTTTTTGCTGGCTGCAGGTGTATGTGAGCCACAGAGTGAGCCCTGGCCAGTGCCACTGTGTCTCAGTGGGAGTTTCTGTGTTGCTTGTAATGCTCACAGCTGTCTGGTTAGAATTAACTTTAACCCGAGGATTGAAATGAAAGAGGCTGGGTTTCTCATTTACACAGTCATTTTTAAAAATATGCATATTTCTAAAGTATGAAAGAGACATGATCACTGAACCAACACATGGCTTAGAGAAACACAGCGAACACAAGTCTGTGATGATGCTTTTCTTTCAACAGACGTGGAACTCTTGTCCTTTATTCCCTCATCATTGAAGAGCTGATGTTCTGTTTACTTCTCCTTTGCTGCCCTCTCATGGACAGCAACACCAACAGTCACCGTTTTTCTAGAACTGTATGAAGTGTGCTCCTACCTTATAGGCTACTGCCACAGGTTTGGTCTTATATCTGTAGACACCAGGGAGTAGTTTTTAAAATCTCTGCCCTACCTCTCTTCTTCATGCATTCCTAACCCTCACTCTGCAGTAGAGTTATAGGAAACATCAAACCATTATCCATCAGCTGCACCATAGAACATAAGTATACATGTAATCAGGCTACAATATAATTTTGTTTTAAATTAAGTATTCATTTAATCTTATGTCTGCTTCTTCGTTTTTATTTTACTTCAGTATATTGGTCTTTGACATCCTGCTGGCCCAGCAAGTCAGAATGAAACAGCAGTTTATTTCATGCTGTCTTCAAAATAAAAGCATATTAACACTAGTGTGTTGAATGTATGCCTGCTGGCATTCAGCAGCAGAATTAGATCTCCACTGAGTGCTGTTAAAAAAAAAATCTGCTTTAAAGATTGGGGACTTGAATTTGACTGTGAAGTAACTGTTACACATGATTTTTTTTAGCTTGACTCAACATGGTGTCAAGACATACAGTAGGAGATCTTGATACATGAAATCAATCAGCTTATCACAAACAATGCAAACAGTACTCACGAAAAGCTGTCTATATTCTGGTTCTTCAAAGTAAAATTTCCAGTTAATCTAAATGCATTTTTATATAGTAAAAGTAGTACATACATTCAAATCCGATTATTTTATTTTAGATGTAAGTACAATATAATATTTTTTCTGTTCACATTGTCAAATTTACATGTGTGATTCGATTTCTAGAGACTTGCCCATTTATATAGACGTATGAAGTTGGAAAACATAATCACCTGAGTAGATGCTCAGTTAAGAAGACCCCCTCCCCTGCAGAAGGCTTTTATTTTGGATTTACTTGAAACGGATGTGTGCTGCTACTTCTCCTGTGCTTCACAGTAGTTTTGTCACCGCTCAGTTTTTTTTTTTGTGGAGAGGTGGACCCACAGTAGAGGGCTCGTCATGGCACCACTTGGACTAAAAGCTATTGTCGGAGAGAGTAAGAATTTGATTTTTGTTTTACTTTTATAATACTAACATGTTGACACATTTACAGGTGATTTAATGATTCTCATTCCAAAGCATTATAAGTAGGGTGTGAGATATGAACTCTGCATTATTTTCTGATTATTGATAGTGATACGGAACGATGCAGCTCCCGGTCACAAATTTTAAATGCTGGAACGTTTGATGCGCAAAATACGCACAGACGCATCTGAGCCACGCTGGACGCCAAAGTGTATTTTCTCCAGTTTTTATTTTCAGAGTGATGAGCGGTATAAAGATAAAGGTTTTGGCGCTGTTCTGTGATCGACGTTTCTATGTTTATTGAGCTATTGTTTGCGTCTGTCTGGAGTGTAAGAGCGCGGAGTCCTGCTTTAGTGCAAATCCTGTCTCGCTAATCTTTGCTGCAAGGATTAAATAGTTTGGCATCATTCTCAGAGGAAGAAGAGAGATGCTTCATGGAGATGCCACTCTGAAAGTCTCAGTTACAATTTAACAAGTGTTTCTGTCAGTTGTATATCAGCATCTTTAGACAGAGACCCATTATTAAACTTGATCGAACATAGAGATACACGCGTTAAAGCTGTGGAGCGCGCTCACCATAAAGTTGATGACGCGCACACTGAAACAAAATACAGCTTCACCTGGGATTTTTATTTTAGGTAATATATAACATTTCTAAGCACATTTAGTAACACATAACAAATGGTGTCTAATACATTATAATGTAGTTGTAAGCATGTCCAACTTAAACAACTGTACCTCCATGTGGACAGCACGGGCGCAAAGGCTGCTCCATGACAAGATCGTCATTTTATAAAACACAGTTAATAATAACTGAAACTATAATTGATTGTTAATAAACATCCTAGATGTCCCTATAGCTACTTATAGCATTCTATAAAGAACTTATTTACTATTTATATACTGCTAATAACTAACGAATATAGGGCACTTAGAGTAAAGTCTTCCTATTCCCCCATTTCCCAAGACCCCCTTTTAGTTTCAGTGCGAGGTTAAATGGTGCCTCTTCTAGTAAAACAGTTTTTTACAAAGGGGTTAATAAATTGTACTGTAACTAATGGCTTTACTAATTGTTAATTTACAGACACTTTTTAAAAGACACCAATAAGAACACATGGTTGTGAAAAATTCCATAGCTTGGTGATCATCCCTTCTATTCTATAATAATTTGTATATTAATGAAGCCCAATAATTAATAAATGCTTAATAATTTGTTACTTATTTGATTTTGATTCGATTTTTTTTTGCAGCCCTAGATAATAAATGATCATAGCAACAAACTGGTCAAAAAGATTTTTATTTGGGCCCATGTTATCTGATGGATTTAATTTGGCTACTTTGAAGGATGTGCTGGTAAGTGTTCTGTTAAACTCTGCATACCAGTTAAAAAAAGAGGATTTCTAAAATGAGAAAGGAATTTAGAGTATGCCTGATGTGTGTTTTAGTTTAGAACATTATGCTTGTCTTATTCAAATTAATTTTGGTTTTTATATGGGGTGAAACAATCACTTTTCCCCTGCCTTAAAGATTTAGAATTATTTACAATATTAATGTAATATTTATTTGATTACAATAATTCTGAAAAAAGAGAATTACACTAAACAATATTAAGAGAACTACATTACAGAAGGGTTGAGAAACTTACTTTTCCTAAATTTATTTAATTTAGAGAGCGAAACATTCGTTAGAATAAGATAACGGATGGATCTAACAAAACTAAAGGGGGTAAACCTCCTTGAAACTAAACCCTGACACTAACCCTTAAACCCTGTGAATTACTTCATATTTAATTTAGAGACATACATTAATCCTTGCACCTGAAAAAATATTTAGACAGCAACAAACTATGTTTGTGTACTGCTGCTCAGTCCTAATGTAATAAAATCCCTTTGATGGAATAACTCTGGTCTATTCCACCTGGGAAACCCAAATAAAACCCTTTAATACTGTTCTAAAACCTATAATAAATTGTTTTTAAGTAGAAACATAATACCTATGTGCAAAGTTCTTTGAAGAAGGTAATTAGGGGACAGCGTGTGAAAAGAGGGTGGAGTCAAAAGGTCATAAATCTTGTTTTGACGCCTCAGTTTGACGGGTGCAGCACTTTATTACTCTCTTTTGAAAATAAAGTGTGTATAAAGTGATGAACAGTATATGGGATTTGTCTTATTATCTGCGATATTTGTTGGGTGAAGCTTTACTGCTTGATGCAGACTGTCACATGAATCTCACTGAAATCTCAGTAAACATCAACATAGAGGACACATTTACTTGCCGGTTATACACATATTTTTGAATAAATGAAAGAAGTAATTTTGGGATTTAATACTTCTGCAATGATAACAACATCTAGAGCAGTCATCAGATCTCCAACAAACATGTTAAATAGTCACTTAGCTATTTATTCATTTCCTAGATGCATGTTAAGGGAATAAGGACTCACTTAGCTGTGGCTAATGCAGAGATATACAGTAATGAAAGTGAGGCAGATTAACTGCATAAATAACCCGTTTCACGTTAATAAGATTAGATAATAAGATAAGATAAAGGTTTGCCAGGGGTTTTCCTAAGTTTTGCAGTATTGGAGTATAATTTCAGGTCCATGGCCAGGTTAACCTGCCAGTTGCAAATCTGAGGCAAAAATAGGCAGTGGGCCTCCAATGTGCCCTGTGTGTGGTAATTTGGTTAAACAAATATAGTTATGAATATGCATCATATGAATTTTGACACTGGGGCCCTCAACAGGTAACAATGCAGGATTCATTTATCTTGATTTATAGCTGTGCATGTTCCCAAACTAATTTACAATCAATTAAATTACCAACAAACAGCTGGTTGAGCAGCTGGGCCTGTGGTGTAGCCGCAACAACCTGGAGCTGAACACGCTCAAAACAGTGGAGATGACAGTGGACTTCAGAAAACCCCCCCTCACCATACTTGACAGCACTGTATTAGCAGTAAAGTCTTACAAGTTCCTGGGCTCCACTATCTCCCAGGACCTGAAGTGGACTTCCAACATCAGGACCATCACCAAGAAGGCACAGCAGAGGATGTACTTCCTGCACCAGCTCAGGAAGTTCAACCTGCCCCAGGAGCTGCTGATACAGTTCTACAGAGGAATCATCGAGTCTGTTCTCTGCACCTCCATCACTGTCTGGTTTGGCTCAGCAACCAAACAGGACAAGTACAGACTTCAGCGGACAGTCAGGACTGCAGAAAAGGTCATTGGTGTGAGCCTGCCCTCCATGGAGGACCTGTACACCTCATGGGTTAAAAGGAGGACAGAGAGGATCACTGCTGACCCCTCACACCCTGGACACAATCTGTTTGAACTCCTCCCCTCTGGATGGCGTTACAGGTCGCTGTGCACCAAGACAACCAGGCACAAGGACAGTTTCTTCCCCCAGGCCGTGACTCTGATGAACACTTGACCTATGACAGTATGATTGGACAATAATCTTCAGTGCAATACCTGTAAATATACCTCGTACAGATTATACAGATTCATACAGGTCTCTAGTTTTAAGTACTCTAGTTTTATTCCTATTTATCTCATTTCAATTAACATTCCTTTGTCTGTCTGCATTGTTTACTGCCTGTCTATACTGCTTATTTTGCATTGTTTACACTGTTTGTTGCTTGTTAATACTGATTATTTTGTTATATTACACAGCCTTATGCTGGTTTACTGTTTACTTGCCCCGTGCATGGGGATATGTACATGCACATTGAGAGCCGATGTACCAGAGTCAAATTCCTCGTGTGTCCGACACACCTGACCAATAAAGCTGATTCTGATTCTGAAACACACAGTGAATACAGGGAGTTAGATGCCCGTGAGTGCCTGGGGCCAAGTGGATGTTGCCCACCTTGCCTTAGTTGGTATTCAGATGCCCTAATGGAAAATAACTGGAATTCAAAGATGCAAGAGGAATATTTTTGTATTTACATAAAATCAAACAACTACAGATTTGGTAATATGTTTTATGGGTTGGTCACACTTCATGCAACTCTTCTCACACAGCAGCAGAACTGTTTTGGTTCAGTCATGTGACTTTCATCAGCCTTGTTTTAAACCACAGCAGCAGGCAGATGTGTTCAGTGCAAAGTTTCTGACAGACCCACTGTACACTACCGGACCTGAACCAAACAGTTTTATACTAGCTGGGGGACATAGTTGAGCATTTATATACAAAAGAGCAGTTAGTTAAAAGGAAACAATTGTAATGCAACTTTGTACATCAGGCTCTATTACCTCTGCCAAGGGTGGGGGTTATGTTTCTGCCAGCAAATAGAATAGCTTTATTTGTCATTTTACATTGTACAATGAAATTTAAAATGCAATCCTTCTGTGCATAAATTATACAACAGCTACAGTAAGTTTAAAAACCTAAAAGAATATAAATAATTAAATATAAATACCGATTGACAACTCTACATCCAATATTCTTCTTTTTAGCTCTCTCCTAATGGAAATATGTGGGTGTTTAGCTGCTTATTGCTCCACTATATTCACCAGCTAGTCTCTAACTGTGTCTTTCTGCTGTCTGGTGCTGGGTAGATAGTGGACAGGGAGCTTAGCAGAGCTGCTGCTGCTGGAAACCAGGTTGATGTGAGTGCCGATACTGAAGCATAACAGCACATTTGTGGGCCAGCAATCCCAAACACTGAGCTCACAGGAGGTCAGACATTTCTGTAGAACTGAGAAGAAATGCAGGGCTGGTGAAAAATCTTTGTGGATTCATCACTATGAGTAATGTCTCTTACATTACATTCATGTAATGTTAATTAAAACAGTGATGAGTGCATCTTAAAACCCATCAGGGAATGTAGTACTGTAGACATAGAATCCTGGGCTTGACCTCTTTAAGAATCTAGAATTATGACTCAAATGGCTTTTCAATTTGATATTGCATAGTGCCTAGATGTGTTTAAGATTTTAATCTGGATTGTATCCAGTTACTGGCAGACAAATCTTCTTAGTTTAGTTCTTTCACAAAAATTCCAGTCTTCTGACTTATTTCTTATAACATAGTATATAATATAACATATTTAAAGGAAGAAAATATAGGATGTAAATTACTTTTTGAAAGCTAATTTAACTCCTTAATAATGTCAAGTATGAACACATCAGTCCATGCTGACATTTGGGGTGTAGTGAAAATATATCTGCCCATCTAAACTCAGTACCTGCTTATGTTAAACGACAGTCCATGTCATGATGCCTTTAACACTGCAAACAGACCAGTGTTTTGCCACTGCAGCATTTTCATCAGAATCAAAATTAACAAAGACATTTGATATAGTCTCTCACAATTCTGACTTAGCTGCAATACGTATGTGGAAATGCACTTCTTTTCATCTATTCTTTGTGTTTTCCTGGCAGAAACTGGCTTCCACGCTTTTATGAGTGTAGGTTTGGTTAAATGGTATATTCTAATATTCTAGATGGCATACATATTGGTTTATTTATTTTATTTTATTTGTGTTATTCATTTTAATTTAAATTACTTTGAAAAATTTTTTAAAGAATGTTGTGTAGATTCTGAAGACAACATGGACACAGCAGTGCTTTTGGCAGGGTTAGGGATAACAGATGTCCCATTCTGTCATGACACTTCCACGTAATCCTGTTGACTAAGTGGATAAACAGGACCTACTGACCATGTGTGCATCATTTACCATCATTACTAGCTCTCCTCGGGCAGCAGGATCTTGCTGACTAGAGACTGTGGCATTTGAAATATATGTTTATGGAAATGTTTTGTGTTAAATCAGATAAACTGAAATCTCTGACAGGTTTTCAAGAGTTATCCCTAGTTTCATGATGTGCTGTATTTTGCAGTTACTGTCATTAGCTACACAGTTGGCTCACTATTATCATATGGCCCCAGTTTCATGGTAATGTGCTAATGACATGTTAAGTCAGCTCTTCAAGTGAAATGTCACCATGGCCCTGTGGAAACAGGACATGTTGACTTTTTCAGAGAATGACTGTGTGTGTATGTGTGTGTAAGAGAGGGGGTATGAGTGATGCTGCTTCCCTGTGACGTCATGGCTGCTGACACAGAAACATCCCAGAAATAGCAGTGGAGTGGATAGGGCAAGAGGATTGGGAACAGATTAGAGGCAGTGATTGCAGTGGGCCGTTAATGTTCAGTCTAACAGACTGAACACTAGCTTAAACCCTCTAGTCAGGAAAACTGGGATGCTGCTCATCAAAATAAGTGACAGGATGCTGTGAAACACTGGATTCTCTCATATAAACAACAGTTCAATTCACACCTTAGAAAATGACTCATCTTCCAAAGTAATTCTCTTCCTAACAAATTCAACCCTCTATTATTGATTGTATTGCAATATAGTGTATGTCACACTGAGAGCTCAGTATTCAGGGGTTTTCCTTGAATTTGTTCAGCTGGGTTGAGGTGATTTATTTTTACAGCATACACAGGTCTCAGGCATATCTTTCATTTCATGGCATATTATGTTAAAAACGGTTCACTTAGTAGCTTGTTAGAGTCTCCAACTATGTCATTGACTTCTTCAGCAAATGGGACTGGCTCAGGTGCAGTACAAACCTACAGCCTAGGTGGTGCTGTAAGTGAGATCTGACTTTGTATCTGTTGGTTTTCAAAAATGCCACTGCTGTAAATGGTATGAGAAAAGCAATCAGACCACTTGTATAAACTGAGATCTCTGTTACAATTCTGCTGACAGGATGTACACAGCTCAACAAATTAAGGGAACACTTGATCATCACAGTATAACACCAAGTTATTTAAACTTCAGGGATATCAATCTGTCCATTTAGGAAGCACAAGTGATTGTTAATCTGTTTTACCTGCTTTGGTGCAAATTAAATTGATAACAGGTGCAACGGAGAAGAAAAAGCAAGACAACCCCCAAAAGGGGAATTGTTGTGTTTGTGTTGGCCACAGACAAAGGATCTCTCCATATCTTTCTTGACTGATTCTTTGTGTTTTGTGTTTTTGCTCATGTCCTTGTCACTACTGGTAGCATGAGGCATTATCTGCAGTCCAGTCAGTTTACACAGGTCGTCCAGTTACTCCAAGATGGCACATCCATAATTACAGTCACAAGAAGGTTTGCTGTGTCTCCCAGCACTGTCTCTAGAGCATGGAGGAGATACCAGGAGAGCGGCCGTTACACCAGGAGAGCTGGACAGGGATGTATATGGGCAACAGCCCTGCAGCAGGACCAGTATCTGCTCCTTTGTGCAAGAAGGAACAGGAGGGGCACTGTGAGAGTCCTACACTGACCTCCAGCAGCTAGTGGTGTGCGTGTTTCTGACCAAACTGTCAGAAACAGACTCCTTGAGGGGGCACAGCCCAGCACCGTGCAGCTCGATTGGCATTCACCAGAGAACACTAGAATTGGCAGGTCTACCATTGGTGCCCTGTTCTCTTCACAGATGAGAGCAGAGACTGGCATGAAGGTTCTGAGATACTGTGGTGAATGTTATGCTGCCTGTAACATCATCGAGCATGACCAGTTTGGTAGTGAATCAGTGATGGTCTGGGGAGGCATATTCTTGGAGGGCCCCACTAACCTCCATGGCATAGCCAAGGGTACCCTGACTGCTGTGAAGTACCAGGATGAAATCCCCAAAACAAACTGTCAGGCTGTGGCTCAGGAGGTAGAGTGATTCGTCTCTGGAAGATTAGTAGTTTGATTCCCGGCTCATTCAGCCCACATGTCGAAGTGTCCTTGAACAAGGATGCTAGACCCCCAGTTGTGTCAATGTGTGAGTGCTTGGGTGTGTGAATGGGTGAATAGCCAGATAGTGTGAAAGTACTTTGACTGTGCTGCAATCATAGAAAAGTGCTATACAAGTATAAGACTATTTACCTTATGCTGGTACAATGGGCCCTGGGTTCCTCCTGGTATAGGACATTGCTTCATGTGGCCAGAGTGTGTAGGCAGTTCCTGGATGAAGAAGGCATTGATGCCATTGACTGGCAGTTTAATTTGTTTAGCACCAGAAATGGTTTCAGAAATGTGCTGGAGAGTTCTGAAGTGGCCAGCAATGAGTCCCCATCTAAATCACCTGTGGAGAGATCTCAAACCAGCAGCTGGGAGAAGGAAGCCTTCAAATGTAAGAGACCTGGAGCAGCTGGTAAAAGAAGACTGGTCCAGAATTCCAGTACAGAGATGGAAGAAACTTACTGATGGTTACAGGAAGTGACTGATTTCAGTTATTTTGTCCAGAAGGTGTGCTACCAAGTATTAAGTTGATGGTGTCAATAATTCTGTCCAGTCCATTTTTGTAGTTCTGTGTGGAATGGATCGGATTAGGCTTTTTTCTCTGCTTTTTGTGTTGTTCCAATGCAAAACAAAAGAAATAAACATGAGAATACCAAAGATTTTGTGATTCCAACAGTTTTCTTGGAGAAGTGATGTGTTATCTGACAGAAATGCAGGGGTGCCTATATTTTTGGCCATGATTATACATTATGGTATTTGGATGGTCAGTTACTGAACTGTAATTTCATTTTTCTTTCTTTATAGAGATAATGAACAATATCATCAAGAAGGCAAGAGAAAAGGGAAAATGGAAGGTACTAGTCCTGTTTGAATGTTTTGATCAACTTTGGTATTATTCCCCTGGAATATTGGCACTGAATATAGATAAAATCTCTTAACCTATCTAAATGTGTTTCAGGTGTTGGTGGTGGACAGACTGAGTATGAGGATGATTTCCTCCTGCTGTAAGATGACAGACATCATGTCAGAAGGAATCACCAGTAAGTTAAACCATGCATGCATGTTTTGCATGTCTTTTGTGAAAAAAAAATGATGTTGTTTGTTAAATAATGTAACTCTCCATAAAACAGCAACTTGTCTCTTGTACAAATCTGTTGGTGTATTATGTTACTTGGTCAGCTTTACACATGCATTATTTTATTTCAGACAGATCCAGAGCAGCTTCTGTATTTATCCTGTTAAGGTATGCAGAGCATGTTTCTTGCTAGGCAACATCTGAGGCTCACAAGGCAAATTGGACATATAAAACCTGGAGAGAAAGTGAAAATGCCTTTCTGGTGGAGACAGTCACATAGTGCTGACCATCCACCACAGACTGCCTCTTCCCCTCCCTCTGTCACAACACACACAAACACTGCATCCAAGTATGCCATTAGGAGTCCACTTATAGTTCAGTTACAAAAGGTTTATCCACACTTTGCAGCCAATCAGAACAGAAAGTTCTCTGTGACCTTGGTATAAATTGTCATAATTTTTTTCATCTTACTATTACAAAGGAAGCAAAAAGAGCATTTTATAAAATGTCAGACTGTTCACACAGCATGGTTATTTCAGCAAGAAAGAAAAATCATCTGGATTGAACAGTTTAGAGCAATAATGGTGCTGATGTACTGTATGTAGGATAGAGAATGAGCGATTTTATGAGTGTTTTAGATTAAATAAACATCTAGAATTCTAGAAAATATGTTCATTATTGTTTATGTACTGTATTTGTTTGGAAACATTACATTTTCTACTGATGAAGCAAAGATATTTTGTTAATTCACATATTTAAAATGTTGCCGTTACATTGATACTGAACATATCTGTAAAAGGTTTACAGACAGTGTATTTGTTTTTCACCAGAATATCTGATCTTGCAGTACAACAACCACTTGTAGTGTTACAGCTTTATCAAACTTTTATATGGTTATGTTTAGGCACTCATAATATTTTAACACAGAAAAAGTTCACTGTATCTTTAGACCTGTTTATTTACTTTTAACTAAAACCTAGATCTTTCTGTAACCCTAAACCCTGACTAATCTGAAGGTAGTGATGCTTCAAGAAGCTACAAGTCAGAGTAGGGGCATGACAATACACTTAGCTCACGAGATGAGAAGATACATGATACTGGGTTCATGAGAACAAGGCCAGAAAATATTTTAACACAATTGTAAAAGAAATCTTCAGTGATGAAATATATGACTGGGGAAATAGTGTTTAGAGAAATCTAGAGTACTGCATTTAAACTGGCTCGAGAGACAGACGGGATCTCATACAGTTTAAAAGCAATAAATATTCCAAACAAATCAGTTGGATCTCTAATCACAATGACCAAACTGATCAACTTTCCCACGTGTTTTTTTGATATTACCCTAGACTGAGGGAGCAAACATTCAGCGTCAGAGTTTATGAACTCAATGCTACATGTGTATACGGCATGCTGATCTCGGCAACAACTGTATGCTAACATTAGTTTAGCCAGCCTTATTAGCCTGCCTTACTAGATGGATCTCCAATGATTGACAGTATTGCATTAAAAAAACAAGCACGGACAGGAGGAGCTGTTCACAGATGGTCCGTTGTCACGTGTTTGTGTGTGTGATGGAGAGAAAGAGAAAGGCATGGAGGAGCTGAGTGAATATATGCACTATGCATGGCATTACACTGAAATTTAGCCTATTTTAAATCAATATGTGGTAGTCAATGTTGATATTGTGGTGGCCCACCACAAATAAATCACTGTATGGGACACACTGAGCTGTGTGTGACTTTCAAACTGAACTCCTTTCTACAAATTGAACATTTAAAAAGTAGCAGGGGATCTTCTGTGCTAATTTCACTGTCAGTCTCTTTGCTGGCTACTGCTCTGGTTCTGTTATGTACTGATACTGCACGACAGCTTTCACCTCAATGACAAAATATCATGTTTTAATATCACAGGATCTTGTGGCATGAGATCACGTCACACCACTAAGTCAGAGAGTTCTAGTCCAATCAAATTGGATGGATGAATACTGATGATTAGTTTTCCTGTGCTCTCCAGTTGTAGAAGACATAACCAAGCAGCGTGAGCCTCTACCCAGCATGGAAGCCATCTATCTGATCACACCCTCAGAAGAGGTAATGATACAGCTCCTCCACAGGCTGTTTAGAATGTTATGGTACAGTTCCCACAGTCTCCCACCAATGTCTCTTTGGCTTCATGTTATACCACACTTCAATATTTTGTTTTCTGAGAAATGTCACTTTATAGCCAGTTGAACATTTTTCAGAATGTAAGTCCAGCAGGTGTTATGGCTAGTTTGTGTGGTGGGTGATATTATATTATTTGATATTATATGACAAATTATTTTTTTCCACTAACATTTCTGTCCATACTGACATCAGTTCATAAATTAAAACATTGCTCTCTGCTGTCTAAGTCCGTTGAGGGTTTAATTGATGACTTCAGAGACCCGCGGGCTCCGAAGTACCGAGCAGCTCACGTCTTCTTCACTGACTGTGAGTAAACCTATCCCGCACCAGCAAGAACAAGAACAAGAACTCCAAATGGAACATTTACAAACTTAAAGTTTATTTAGAGACGCTTTGAACATTTTTATTGTTTGAAATACACAAATTATGTTTCATGTTTGGAGGCACTTGGGTGCTTAAACAATACTTAAAATCCACAATTGATTATCTCGGTGAAATAAAGCTATTATATACTGTAACTTATAGCAAGTTTAAATAACACATTGATCCCTGTAGGCAGACTGCTTAATTAGAATTCAAATTGTTGCAATATGAAATATATATTTTTCTCTGCCCTCTCTGATAGAACTCAGCTTTTCTTTGTTAACAAGTCGTCACAGGTGGAGTGAGTGGCTGCGCCATCATTGAATCAATTCATGTGTCTAATACTTTAAACCCCATCTAAAATGGATCAGAAAAAAAAGTACCAGAATCCAACAAGACTTAAAAAAGACCAAAGGACAGTTAGCCTGGTCTGAAGACACCTGGGAATAGATCCTATCCAAAGTGTGGTGGGCTTGAATAGACAGAAACCGTGAAAACCCAATACTGGCAGCAGATGACAGTTTGACATTAGTTCTACACAAAAATACATTTCTCTCATTCATTCAAATGTGACCCCTCTGATATTGATGCATGATGCACAAGTCTTCAAAAATAACATGCAGGCTTGGCATTAAACACTACAAGGAGGTGCTGGATCTTTTCCCATAATGCACCTCAGTATGTCAGCATGCCCCACTTTATATGGCAGGCTTATGTGAAAATTGTGTCTTGCAGGCTAAACTAAGGTAACCAGTGGCATCAGTTTTTCCCCCTCAGACTTGACAAAGTCCTCCAGATCCACATTATGCTCCTGTATAAACTGTAGTGCTGCCTGTGAACATTAAATAGGCCTTTGTATAAAATTGGTGTGCTTAAAAGAACCTTATTGTCTTTACACAGTTGAATTAGGTGCTCTAATTTAAAAATAATATTCAGGATTGACATGACATTGACATTTGTCTAATTTACTAATTATCTCAGTCACTCACCATGTTCTTCTGCGATTTTCTGCAGCAATCCCAGACTCCTTGTTTGGGCTGCTGACAAAATCCCGTGCCTCCAAAGCCATGAAAGCCTTGACTGAGATCCACATTGCTTTTCTACCCTATGAATCTCAGGTAAGTTAGAATAGAATGCCTTTATTGTCATTGTATCGTTAAATAAAACCATACAAGATTGTGAGTGCTACTCTACTAGGGTGCAACAAGTTAAAAACTGTTCTCCACACATTCATCCCAAACCCATGATTGACATTTTTTAAATCAGTGAAGACATTAGCAGTCCATTCACACAGTCTTGAAATCTAGTATTGACTACAGTTTTTTAAACAATAGATTAGGTAACTGAATATAGTGTCAACGTTCAGCAAGGGAGAACACCCAAATGCAGAACAGGAAGAGAAAGGACAAAAATGTTAATGGGAAAAACTGACTGAAAGTTCAAGAAACACAGGACACTGAAAATCTAGGCAGCTATAAACATAACCCAAAACAAGCTCAGACCTGTCTTGCACTGCTGAACATAAGTATTTGAACACCTGAGAAAATCAGTGTTAATATTTGGTACAGAAGCCTTTGTTTGCAATTACAGAGGTCAAACGTTTCCTGTAGTTCAAATATTAACACTGATTTTCTCAGGTGTTCAAATACTTATGTTCAGCAGTGCTAGACAAATAAATTCTTTAAAAATCATACAATGTGATTTCCTG